GAGAAGATAATTGAATGAAACGTCTTTGCTTTCCATCCCTTTCTCACACTGGTGCCAGCAAGGTCAGAACCTTGCAGGCCTGCTTTCTCTTCAGGTTCATGCAAATTTGATAAAAATACCAAAGGCCCATTTTCTTCCCTGTGCCAGCTCTGGTTAGATAAATTATCTGGTATTCAGTCAGGAGCAGTTACAAGTCTGTCAGTTTTTCATACTAATTATGTGACTGGGCCATTTCTAATGGAGGCGGGTAACCAAATGGCTTTGCAGCAGAGCCAGCGTGCGCTTTCGCATGGGTTATTCACCGCTATGAATGGGCATAATATTTGTAGATTGAAAATCCCATCCAAAACATTTTCCTCAATGGGCTATAAATAGTCGTTGGGAGGGAATAAGAGGTCCACTATCAGTTTATTGAAGATCATAGCAGTGGTGGTTTCATTATCAGATGGTGCTATGCACCTGTGGATTTTATGGTCCGTAAATGAGATGCGGCCATGTGTTAAAGCACATCTGCACTTAAAATACTTAGTGTTGAAACAAAAACCCATCAGAAATCCTGTCGCTCTCAGTTCCCGTGTTTGTTCTGTTTCAAGAACGATGAGCTTTCAAAAATCAACAGGCGCATTCATGAAAGCAGCACATGGTGTCATTTGTTTCCTTTCCCAGTTCTGCGGTGTACCAGCACATTCACATCTCAGGGCACGTATGACTGTCTCTTGTGAAATCAACCACTCCGTATGCGAGATAAGCCCTGCTGTTTTTCTCTCTGAGATCAGAATCAGTCCAGAGGTAACGGGGAAAGCTGTAGCCTAGTAGCTCAATACAGCCTAGTTAAAACCCATCTCAATAATCAGATACAGTCTCAGCTGGCTTGCGAGCAAATTGCGTGCATTGGTTCTTCCTTGTGCTCCAGGTTTTGGAGCCCACCTCCAGGTTTTAAGGGTTAATTTATAAAAAGGATTGCTTAGGTATAGCAAGGTCACCCCCACTGCAGCACTTCTATGGAAAGGTAGATTCAAAGACCGATTTTGCTGCCTGCCTTTGCTGTTGTTCATACAGAACTCACAGGCTGCATGAGAAGAACCAGAAGTGTCCTCCAGAGACAGTGCTCACTCCTGATCTTTGTTGTCAAAGACGTCTGGTCTCTATCTCCCAAGGACCCTCTTAAAAGCAGTTAGTTAGTTTTTAAAGCTGCTCTCCCTTTCTCTACTTACTGTTGGAAGTTTGTCCAAATAGTTAGAAAATGTTAACTCCTCTTTCCTAATTTCTTCCCAGCTATGTCTTACTTGTTCGTGTGCCTGATTTATTAATAGGCACTAAATTAATCTTCTTGCAGCTTTCAGTTTTGACAGACTGAACAGGCAAAACTTTTCTAGCTTTCTCTCGCAAGATAAGCTGTCCAGTTCCCTGACTATTCTAACAGCTTTCCTCTTTACCGCTTCTGGTTTGAATTCATCTTTCTTGAGCATGAGTAATGACGGTTGTGCAGCTATTCCCATATATATTCTTTCTTTGTACTGCCGTTGGAATTTCCCATCCTTATGCCTTCTAGGATTAATGTGTTGGTTTTTTCTCAGTGGTCCTTTTTCAGCTGGTATCCCCAGGTACGCTTGTCCTTTGCAAACCTCCAGTGTTTGAAAGGCTGACTTTTGTACCAGTCCTGTTTGCGTACTTGCACATTTTAGCATTAAATGTAAACTCATTTCTGTTAAAACAGTCTTTCTAATTAGCTAGCTCCTGGTCCAGGTTCTCCGCTCTGGCTGTTGCTACTAAATTTTGTGTCTCTGATGACCGAGTGGTCTGATGTAATTTACTGAACTCCACTGAAACCGGTTGTCTCTCTGAGGCAGTAGTATTTGATTACCCCAAAAGGAGTTCCATTTTTAGATTGTCTGTTGTGCTGCTTTTTTTTTCCTCATTTGTTTATTTCAGCAGTTTAGCTCCAAGAGGCCTAAAGTATCAGCCTAGAGATAGTTTTGAATTTGCCTGATTAATGGATTAAAGTTTTGACCCCTTCTGCAGCTCGCTTCCAGAGATTATGGGTTGATAAGAAAGTACTCCTTCCCTCTGGCCATAAATCTTTTTTTCTTCCTTCTTGTCTGAACATATACCCATACGTTTCTTCTGCTATATGCTGTGACAGAGTACATTTCATGTGAAAGCTTGCTAATGAAGTTGTACATCAGACCACAACAAAAATGAAGGCCTCCACGGTGGAGTAATGGCATTTGGCTCCCTTTCAGACACGCAGTGCTGAAACTTCTGCCAAGTGTCACTGCATCATTAACTTTCAGTACAAGTTATCAGTCTATGAATGGAAGAACACAAATCACTTTCAGTGCACGTTCACAGAGGAGCTGCGGATTTAACAGAGTAAGGGAGTGTAATTGGCAAATCAAACATACAGCGACTCCGAGGTATTCTGGAATTTTTCACCAGACATCTAGGAAGTAAAACGCTTGATTGATTTCGCTGAGGATTTTTAAGCGCCAGAGTTGTCTGGTGGAACTAAAAAGTGAGTGCCTTATCAGGCTCTGTGTGGTAGGTTTTGCTGGCATTTCCATCTCTTCAGAGCAGCTGTTAGCATTTTCAAGGTCAGCCCAGGCATGGAAGATTTCCTCTTTAGGGAATGCATGAAATGATAATTGGAATTTGCATCCTCTGATGAAACTCAGCACAGTTCTTAAATCAGTTATAAATGAGGAGGTGGTCTGCTTGCTGCGGATCCTACTCTTCTCCCTACCCCTTCTAGCTCAGGCGCATCAGCAGTTTGCTCCTACTGCTCTTCCCCTTCTTCAGAGACCAGCGTGCGATGAGTTGGTGGCCTCAAGCTAATTCCCAGTGAACAGATGTCCACATCACAAACATTGCAGCTACACCTGCTGCTTACTTACATCGTTGTTGGCAACTGGGCAAGAGGAGAAAAGGATTAAAATGGATTTGGAGGCTGAAGAGCACAAGAGACTGTCTCCCCACTTCACGTCTGATTTCACTAGTCAGGCAAAGTTCTGATCATTAACAGAGTTCATTTTCTAAGGACACCGATTTAGTGCATCTCATGGATACTAAATTCATTTAAGATAAATAGAATAACTGCTTGATGGGTGAGGTCTATGCTGAGGTGCAAAACATACAGTGGAATAATTTTGCCAGTTCCAACAGAACTTAGCTTTCTTTTTACTTGGTTGTCTCAGTATACAAGTCCACATACTTTTTGTCTGATTTACCTTTATTTAGAAAAATACTCACTGACAACTTTAAGTATCTGGATGAAATCCTGGCCCAGTTGAAAGTCTTTTAATTTTGGACACTGGCTTTTCTGGAGTTTCTACCCAGAAAGTATAGGGGGTTTATTTTTTCTCCTGCATTTGTTATTCAAGCTTCTTAAAAACTAAGCATCTGGTGGCGTATCACCTATATCATTAGCTTTTGCCCATCAAGGGTAAGCAGCAAGGAAAGCACTAAATGTCTCCTCCTGCCTGGTGCACTCCACATCTGAAATTTGGTTGCTTCAACTGGTTTGCAGTTTGTGCTGGATTGTATTTGTAATCGGTCTGAGGTTGAAGGAGTTTATATATCAGAGCTTCACGGTGCCAAACCCTCCTTGTCTAGATGAATTACTAAACCAAACTGAAACTTCATACTGTCTCATCTTCCCTTTAATGATCTCTTTGCAAATTGATGAGCGTGTTTTTCATGCTTATGAAACTTTGGCCAGTAATTGCTTGCATCTTCTAAACTCTGAACTGGCTTGAACTGAAATTTTCCTTGGAGGGGTTTTACTGAATTGATAAAAAACTCTTCACTGCCCTCTTCTGGGGGGTCTAAGAAAGCGCAAGGAGCCTGTGCGAACGCTCTGGACAGCAGCTAGAGTATGGCATGTGTGTGTTATTGTATGGCCTCCTTCAAAGAAGGATTTGGCTTGAGGTCTTCTTGCTGTGCTGGGGTAGGCATGTTTCTGTTCTGCGTGGCTGCAGGACAGCCACCGCACAATAAGCCATTGTCATGTGGCGGGGCCGAGCTCCCGACAGAGAGACTGCGGTAACGCTTTGCACTTGGAGCCTCCAGCAAAGCCATTGAAGCTGGCAAAAGTCATTTCGCTGGCTTGGTGCAGCTTGGTTAAATAGTGATTCCCATAGGAAGGCTTCAAAGAATTGCACAAGATTTGGTAATTTCTATTAGCTCCATTTATACAGCCAGAAACAAAGGCAGTGAAGGGGGGTGATGTCTCATCAGAGATCCCACAATGAACGGTTGGCACCGAGTTGGAATCCATTACGGAAAACTGGTTCAACATAAAGACCTAGAATAAAAGATTTACTTACTATTTTACTGGGTTGTTTGTAAAGTCCGTGTTCTGTTAAAATAAGTCTCTCCAGCTAGCTTTTGAAGAAGGAAGTATACAGTGGTGGGAAAGCACACAGAAGGGACTCCGGAGAAAGAAGTATAGTCTTCTGTCATCTATGGTTGTGCTTCACAGGGTCTGGACGAACCTTCTTCATCTTGTCTTTAAAAAAAATCTCTACTCTCTTCCACACAGTGGCTTCTGAAAGTTTAATGAAGGCATGTTTATAAAGCATTTTCAGGTGGAAAAAAAAAAAAAAAGGGCCAAAAACTGTTTACAGCTAAACAAATATAGCATCGCAGTGCTACAGTTTCTAAGGCAGCCAAAATACTATTTTACAAATGGAAAGGGGGAAAGTATGTGAAAAAGTGTTTTTCTGAGGGATCCCTAGACTCCTTTTCCTTAACCATAGGTTTCTGTTGGTATGTATTTTTCTATGCTGGTCACAAAAGGCATGTTTAAGAGGGGAACTCAGTTACTGTGGTCGGACCAGTGGCTTCAGTTTTTGTTTCCAACTTGCTGTGTTGGGAAGAAAAGGGAAGAGAAAACAGCTCATGATATATTGTTTGGAAACTATAATTTACTGTAATCAGGCAGCTCCCATGAAATGTGAGAAGCCTACATCAATAAGTCCACTTCTCTGTTTTTGTCCTAGGCTCTCCATTCATAAATCAAGTTCGGAAGAAGGCTCTGTAGGTCAGTATATTTCATTTTATTTAATACTCCTATGGAATTCTTAAACGGGTTTGAAGTTCTGCTTGTGCTGGGATGTGAAGAGCTGAGTAAACACAATGCTGGCAGAAGTCAGCAGCATTTGGGGGGGGAGGGGGGACTGCAAAGGCGAGTCTTTGCAGCTTTAAAAGTTAGATGCTGAGTGTCTCAATGATCACTGACACTGCCCGACCAGCATTGTCATGTGATAAATATGCATCTTTTGACTTGTTTTATTGAATTTTGAATATCTGCATGTTAGATCACTGCTAGCCTATCCGTTTGTGCTCTGAAAATTGCCACCACCAGTGAATAACTGGGGTTTCATGTCACACCAGAGTCTCTTCCTTTGTTTCTGAAATATTTTGCATTCTTAAATATGTATTTGTTTTCCATTGTCTCTCACATTTTCTTTCTTTTTATTTCAACTTACTATATGTAGTTCATATTGCTATCATATTGCTAAGTTATTTGCTGAGCTGATACAATTCTGGACAAATTTTATTTTGGTCATGGGAGAGGAAAAGAAAATCTGGGAGAGTTTTTTTGTTTCTTTCTTTTTATGTTTTTTTTTCCTAGGGACATTTCTGCACAGTCTAAACTTAAACTGTGTTTCAGAGAGTCAGTAAACCCAGCTTCTAGGGTGAGATCCAAAGTACTATACTTACATGCTGAAACTAAGTGGCACAGTATAAACTGCATTCCTTTGAATTTTTCAGAAGCAGAAGGGTGAAGTAACTCTTTATCTTTAGCATTTCTGCCAGATCAGGCTCAGTATGTTCTCCTGCAGATGGCATAAACTTTATAGCGTGTGTTCTGGTTAATTCAACAGAACACAGTTTACGTCCCCTACCTTGAGCCAGATCCCATTTCTTCTTTAGAACAAATGATTTTTTTCTGGGTCATCGAGCCATATGCAGATTTGATATTAACGGAGATGGAGACCCAGCCTTGTACAGTCCAGGCAGACAGAGAGCAATAGTCAGATGTAGCTGATTGTCCCATAAAATTTCTCATGCCAAGTAGCAGAATGTGCCTGTGTTTTTGAGTGTGTGTGTGTGCGTTAATATATATGTAAAGTATTTCTTTTCTGTATAGATATGTACACACATACTAGAAAATTATTTATCTTAGTTGTGGCTTAGGCTGCATAATTGTAGCTCAGTTAAAGAGAATAAACCAACAAAATACTTCAAAAACACTTCTAGACTTGACAGTAACAACTCAACAGATACCAAAATGAATGTAAAATATTTTCTGTTTATAATTCAAAATATGTAAGTTACTGGCTTATCTCAGTCCTCTATAGCATTGGCAATTATAAAAGAATGTGCATTTCCCTGAAAAGCTACATCAGCATAGTTCTACTACAGAATAAATAATGAAAAACAGAAAATTTGAGATTTGTTTTATTCTTGTTCTTGACTTAGAAAATACAACTTAATGTTTGAAAGCTTCTCTAGCATTTACTAACTAGTGTTTCTTTCTTAAATTCTTTTTCCCTTTCCCCTCATCCTCCCTCCCCACTTTCCTTTTAGGGAAAGCAGACTGGAAAAAGAAAAATAAGTTTTTTTGGCAGAATTTCCGAAAGAACCAGAAAGGACTAATGAGACAGACTTCAAAAGGTAAATCATTTCTAAGGACATACAACCTATCCGTTTAAAATAAAAGGAGCCAGCATCACAAAAGAGTAAAACTCATTTGCAACGGTGTGGCAGTTGGGGGTGTGTGGATCTGGAAGTGTCGCAGGTTTGGTTCATCGTGGGGGAGCTCAGAAAGACAAGTCGTATTCTGTGAGACTGCAGACATGAGGTCCTGACGTGGTCCTGGCTGTCAGTGATGGCACTCCTGCAAAATGATGCAGTTGATATATATTTATAAGTCATATCTCTCAATGAACAAGCTGTTTGGTTTTTTTTTTCCTGATCCTGACTTGCTGAGAGAAATGGTGATCTGTTTTAATTAGAAAGATGTTTCTCCTTCCTTTGGCATTTGGTTACCTTGACCTGTTTGCTTTAGGCAGGAATCCAACCTCTTCTTGTAGGAGAAGATGCTACAAGGAAGAGTAGTAAAAGTGCATCTGGTGACTAGTGCAAATGTAGGATCAATTCCACTTGAACTGTCAGGTGTCTTTCTCTAGTTCTTCTCCAAAAGACGCAGCTGTGCGTTGCTTTAAGTATTTGTCTTCACACAGAAATTTCTGTTTCCCCATGTGTATCCGTTAGATCCTTGTGTTGCAAACAGATGCTTCTCCACGTCACTATGTCTGTGTTCAGACAGATTGTGGAAGATGACAGGAGCCCACTTAGGATGTTGGAAAGGGGCACGTTTACACACTCAGTTAAGCACCGGATCCTTGCTGGCTCTCAAGGCAACTTCTAGTTGTCCGTGCTGACATGCCAGGCACAAAAGGAGAGGTCCTGGAGTTGAGAGCCCCAGTGCATCCAGCACCATGGGCCAGCTCCGTGGCCAATTAGATAGCTCAGATAAATCAGGGGACATGGCCAGTCCACAGCAAAGAGGCCAGTGCAAGGGCCCAGCGTGCCTTTCCTGGAAGGGCTTCCCATCCGCTCTGGCAGCTGACTGCAGGATTCCTCGGGGCCGAGCGCAGGGCTTTTCTGGCATTAGCACTTTCTCTTTTGATTCTCGTCTTTCAGGGTCAATAGCTTTGTGATGACAATCACTTCTTATTTCTCCTTGTCACGCTCTCTTGCTTCCAGTGTCAGAGCAGACATAGTTTTCTAGCCCTAATTTACTTACTTTTCTTGCTCAGTTACTTCCAAATAATTCAATCCTTTGAAATCATAGCATGGGACTGCTCTGGGGAGGGTCTGTTTCTGGCCAGCCAGATCCACGTGGCGACCAGATTTCAGAGCACTGGGTAAAATCCAGTTTTAATATACCCCACTCAGTGCATGACCTTTTACACATGCCTAATACCTCTGTGCTTTTTCCTGCAGGAGAGGATGTGGGGTATGTGGCCAGTGAGATCACCATGAGTGATGAGGAGCGGATCCAGCTGATGATGATGGTCAAAGAGAAGATGATCACCATTGAGGAAGCACTTGCTAGGGTATGATATGTACATCAGTTTCCTTGAGAAACGTGTTTTAGGATGTAGGATATACCAATTTGGAGTTCTCATTTGCTCAGCAAGCATATGGAGAAGGGGGGAGAAAGCTTGCCTATTCGTCTCATTGCACTATGTAGCATAAATTATTGGCAGTTCCTTTGTTAACGTGTTAACATTTCCACACCACTTTTGATTTTGTATCCTTGTGCAAAATACTGTGGTGGAACACAGGGTATTCTGTGTGGGCTCCATTAGAGGTGCAGAAAACGTTTAGATCATGAATTGGCACTCAGATTTCTATGCTGACATATTGCATCTTGAAATAGATTATCCTAGAATGTAAAGTTATGTTACTGTCTGAAGAAAGTGTTGCTTTGCTGGGAGTCATATCATGAAAGAAAATGCAAAATTTTAAAATTACCGGGTGGTAATATCAGGAACTCTCTTAATTCTCTGCTGTTAATTTGAGGGGGGGGGCTATACCTGATCTGTACCGTTCATATATGTACTGGTACTGTTTCCCTCTAGTGGTCTGAGCTACTAGCAGCAACTTTTTCTTTTTTGAAATATCATCAGTTCTTGATGATCCTCTCAACAGTTTGGCTCTAATAAAATTGCTTTTCTGTCTCAAGACTTTTATTGGAAGATGGGAAAGATGGTCTGCTGTTTTAAAATTATAAAAGATGGTTCCTAGCCTTTACTGCAGATCATTTTCTTTATGAAGGAAATTGGCAGGCTATTGTGATTTAGTCTGTCCACTGTAAACTGCACCTCTGAGATGGGGATGGGTAGCTTATATTTTACCAGTGACAGTTCATGAAAATTCAGTATTTACAGATCACTTCCTTTTAAGAAAAAAAAAAAATTCATCCTTAAAACTTCTGATTCTAAAGCAAATTAATTTGTTTTGAACAAGTGAGACATGCAGTACAAAAGTTCTGATTTTCCCAGTTCCACAATGATATGGGGGGGAAAAACAATGAAAGGATGTTAACTCTTGCTATTTTAATGAAGATTGATGGCTTCTTCTCAGTGGAAAACGTTCCCTCTTTTGAAATTTCAGCTGAAGGAGTATGAAGCCCAGCACAGGCAATCAAGCACTGTAGATGCTACAGAATGGCCTGATGGTTCTTACTCAACATTTGATGGGTCTTCCAATTGTAATGTAAGTACTTGTCATTCTGATATAGCTCCCAGTATCATTTAATATTTAAATTCTTTTATTGCAGTAGAGAAATATCCTGATTTACCTGGTGATTTCCTTAATAGCAAAAGTTTCATTTGACCTTATGATGCTACATTCTGTCTGCAGAAAATCTTTAACATGGATTTTTAAATCTTCTAGGTTTGTTGTTGCAGACTTCTATGGTCTTATTATCTCTCTTTTAAATCTGGCCCTTTGTCCCTGAGCTTTTGAAGCATGAGTGGTACCTGGCAAAAAATGCCTGTGTTCCAAAATGCACAAAAAAGGGTTTTTAGGTTTTTTGGAGGGAAATGTTTTGCTTTGCTGATTCACAGTAACTGAGAAGTAGAGTTTCCCAGGCTTTTGTAGCCCTTGTTGATACTTTCTAGGTGAGGGTCTGGCTAAGTTCTGGCTGCCTGCTGCTTTCAAACAGTTCTATCTCTGCATTTGCTAACTGTCAGCACAGAGAGTCTGCAGCTTTTGCCAGACCCATAAGCAGTAAGGCAGCTTTCTTCCCTCATTTTTACTTCTGAGCTCTGTAGCTTCTGTTGTTTTTATGGGCACCAGACAGTCTTTGTGTCATGCCATACTGCATTAATTAATTTTTCCTTCCAAATATCTTCATTTTCACTGAGTAGTTTATTCCACTTCATTTCTCTAATTGAAAGTTCACAGATAAATCTTAGAGAAGAACACATTTGGCTGTCAAATCCAAGCTCTTTGTAACCCATATAATTGAATCATAGGCTTTTGAGACCATTGATTGATTTATTTATTTTATTGTCAATGGAATTTCCTGCTAACTGCAGCAGGCAATTAGCTTCTCCTCCCTAAACGAAAAGAGGAATACTATATCATTTTATGAGAAGTTTAAAATATTTTCTGGTGGAAAAGATTTTCTTGTTTGTATTAAAAAAAAAAATATGCCTATCTTTAGTTAGGTGGGAGTAGAGGGGACCTTGTAAAGAATAGACAAGGACGGATCCTGACTCTTCTGCACTGATTATTTAACCGACTGAAAGATGTCTTGGTCTTTTCCTCATTAATATTTAGAACCTGAACTTTCCCCTCTTGAGGCCTTTGGCCCAGGTACCTATTGCATAAAAGCCTCAAAATTCTCATTTACTGTGGTCAAATCTCAGAAGGATACTGAGTTTCTCTCTTAAAATCTTCTGATAGTATTTGTGTATACCTCTGAGAACTGAACTTGACTTAGTATTTGCTCCCTAAAGGAACAACTTGGGACCTTTTCTCTAAAACTAGTTCCCTAAGCCATCTTTACACTTTGACTCAAGAGCTCTGTTGCCTCTCTCTGCTGTTGTGGTAGGATTTGAACCATCTTCCTGCTAACTTTGATAGGGGATCTCTGTTCCATTGTGTGGATACCTCTCGAGATTTTTGCCCTTCCTTCTAATTTTTATCCTGGTTACATTGAACAGAAGCTGTGAAACTGCATGCCTTCAAGAGAAAATCAGATCATCTGCAGATAAGAAACTTCATGTTAGAACAAAAGTCAGCTTGGCTTTCTTTTTTGCGGATGAGAAAGAAACTAGGGTTAGCTGGGGTGAAAAAACTTTGGGCTATAATTGATATGCAAGAGGGAAAAACAAACAGTGCAAAGTATCAGATATGCCTAGAGAGAGGGCGTATGTTCACCCAAACTGCGCTGCCAAAGGACATCTCTGTTAATCTAAAAAGACCAGCTTTTGAGAGGTGCAAAGAGGATTCTGTTTCAAGCCCTTTCTTTTCCAAATGGTTTGACCTTCAGCGCCATTTGTGTCATTTGTATTCTGCAAATTTGGAATCTCAACTTAAAACTACCCCACCCATTTTATAGAGGCTATGAAGCAAAGATGTTTTTCCATATACTAAAAACATTTTGTTAGATAGCCCACTGCCTTCTAACCTCATAAAGTAAATGAAAATGTGAGTCACTGAAATTGAAGTTTCTGGTTTGAATTAAAACTCCTTGGGCAATGGCTCTTCTGGTTCTGTTGGCATTTTTTCTGATTTTTTTTTTTTTTTTCAGTCTCATGGCCAAATTGTTACTAGGCAGTTTTTAATGGAACATTGTGATCATACTTGATCATTTGGTAAATATTTTGTACACACAAATGATAAAAGTGAATTGCAGGATAATTGCAGATTGGGGGAATTTAGGATAAGGATAATTTTTAGTTTACTTGCTATGCGTTTGTTTGGTAACCTTGGGGATTTAAGACTTAGCAAGATACTAGTATAATGGCTTCTTTTTTTCTCTCCTCCTTTTTTTATCTTCCCAGACAGAGAGTCCTGCTGGTAGGTAGGAGGACTTGGGAGGATGGGTCACTAGATTTTTGTGGAGAATCTTGGTCTAGCTTTGCCTAATGACTACATTTCAGGAATTAAAAAAAAAATAAAAAAAAAAATATAGAATCTAGGCAATCAGAGAATCTAAAAATGAAGGCAGAATGTCTATAGTGTTCTAAAGGTTTAAGTACTTCATTGCTTTCAAATCAGCTCTGCCCACAGCATAAGTACAGCCACCTACAAAAGTACATCTAAAGGGCAATTGTTGTAACTAGCATTAGTTGTTGTTGTTGTTCTCCTTTTTAGGAAAAAAAACCACAACCTTTTTTTCTTTTTAAGCTTGTGTAACTGTCATGTGTTTATGACTAACATCACTGGCCTTGATCCTTAACTCATTTTAAAGACTGGTTTAAGGATTCTTTTTCCCAGCTCCTCCCCTTTTAAATTACTGTACCAGGAAATGGAAACTTGGGGTTTGTACCCTTACAAAACTAAACCCCAAAGATGAACCACAAAGGACCGAAGGGTTGAAGGGTCATCGTCTCAGCATCCGAAGGGAGGCAGCCCTATGTCATTGATGTGCTGTTAATTGTATGTCATGTTTGTTTGCTCTTAGGAAACAAACAAACAAATAAAGACTTTGCCAAGTCAGTAGGTGACTTGGTTCTCTGCCATTTGAACAGTTTATAGCTTTCAGTCTCACTACTGTGGTCCCTTTGTTTCACAACAAAGTATGTGTGTTATTTATTTGCTAATGTGGGAATGCAATTGAAACTGTTTTTCTTTTTAGACAGATGTGTCAAAAGTGTAAAACACCTTATAATTTTTTTTTTTACGAACTTATTTCTGAGTATTTATGTTTCATCTCTGTTGGAATGAAGGCTGCTCACAGTAATACTAGACAAGCTTTCATTGCCTTGTGCCAAGTGTTGGGATGTAAAGCAGGTGCAGATTACAAATGGATCTCTTTCTGGATTTTAGATAAGGGCCTATTTGTCTTCAGGAGTCAGAAAGTCCAGGGAAAGAGAAGACTTCAAAATTGTATCACATTCTTTCTTTACACTGAGGTGCCTTTTATGCTTCTTAAAGATAGAAGCTCGTTTGATAACTTTGGGGGGCTGAAATTTTCAGTTCATCTAAAACAGGGCTGCTTCGTCCCCAGAGCCCCATTGGTACGGCTTCAGCCCAGCTTGGAGGACCAGCGTTAGGAGAAACCAGTATAAATCTTTTCCTGTGCCCTCTGCTGACAGACTGCTGATTGGTACCAATCCCCATGTTTGATGCAGGAGTTGGGGAAAGGACTGAAGCAGGAGGGAGGCTGTGACAGAAGTGTGCATCACACGTGTGCTGCCAAGGAAACGAACCACTAATTAACTTCACTGACGGTTTCTGTAGATGGAAGTTAAATGAAGTCGTAATTATCCCTGTACTGAACAGTTTTGTTGGTCTCCTCGGGCTTCTGTGTGTTGGTTTTGATCAGCAGCTAATGGTCAGCCATCCAGAGCTCATTAGCACGAGCTCCCAGGTAGTGTAGCCGGCCTTTGTTTGAAGGGTGCCACAGTGAGATGTGCCGTGCTCCCCCGAGACCTCCCCACCTGCCACATCTGGCCACAGCAGCCTTGGGAGAGAGGCCATAAAATTTATGAGCCGGGAGAACAGAAGCAGCACCTCCCTCCAGCAGTATGGCCTGCAGGCGGGCAGTGGGAAGCCCACGTTCCTCTTTTGCCTCCCTGGCTTCCCAACGCTTCTTTACCCAGGTCTGTCAGCGTGGCACTGGAACCAGTAGGAAACTGGCACCCCAATTTTTTTTGCTGAGGAGGTTGGTAGCTGTTGTGCAGACCTGGAGGCGTGCCATGCACATCTGCATCTGCCCTGAGGCTGATGCTGGGGAAAACTCCCCTTTGCATTGCTGCCCTTTTCCATCTTCTGTTAACCCACTTTGTGGCAGCAAATCGAGTCCGCGGAGCGACAGCGCAGTCCGAAGTGAGATAATCTGTTGTTGCTCATGTTCTTCATATTATTTCCTGGGGAAGTTTTCATTTACCAAGTCATTAAATGGGGCTACAAGTTGAAAGGGTGTGCAGTGTTGGGCTTGTGTCTGCTGCCAGTGTCAGAGGCAGAATAACAGACGGGAGCCTGAGAGGTGCTGAAGCTGTTCAATCACAACTGTATTACCTATGGTACAAAGCTGACTCTGACAAAAGACAAAGGTTGAAAGAATTATCTCTGACTCCTGACAGCCATTACCGTTTGGTAAGTGTGAAGAGTAGGAAGAAAACAATAATTGCAGTGTAACTTCTGTCGCACCAATTATCTCGAGAGTACATCTAAGTGTAACTACAGCAAATCCACATTATTCAGGGTTACACACTGTTTCAGTGGTTCAGATTGTAGATGCTTTCTAAATACAGCCATTTTTAAATTGATTGATTTTTATTCATATTACTGACGGATTCTTAAAATGTTTAACTTTTTTAACATTGCTATTGCTCATAGTACAGGACTGTTAGAGTAAACAGTCATTGGAAAATGCCATTGGAAAAAGCCATTCTTTTGATATAGTCAGTTTGTTAGATCTAAGCTGGAAGCTGATGCATTTTGGGAATCAGCTTTGGGTATCAATGGAGAGTAGGGTATGATGAGGTTTTTTTAATTTAAACAGTAGTGTTTAAGCTGAAGCAACGTGGATACTT